CCATTGTGCTCGAACAGGTGTGCAGTGCTGTGGAGCCCAAAAGAGAAAGTGGTTCTACATGAAACTCAGAAGAATGGCATTTGAGCTGCACCAACTCATAGGAGGGCACATAGGTAAGTCTAGCATGGTGTCAGGAAGACTGGAGCAAATTCTGGAAAAGCAAAGCAAAGCATAACATATCTGTGGAGAAATGCCTAGGACATAAACCTAGATGATAGGCTAAGACATTAATGTAGTGGAATAGGGAGCTAGAGTGTCGGTGCACATTTTCTCATGTGTTTGCTCTCTCTCTCTCTCTCTCTCTCTCTCTCTCTCTCTCTCTCTGTCTCTCTTTCACCTTTTTATACTGGGATATTATGGGATTACATGGTAGCAAACCTAGAGAAGTCTGATGTGTACATTATTGCCACCAAATATTGTAAATCAGCAAAAGCAGAGAAAGGTCCAAATGTTCAGTGCAGAAATCAAAGGATCTGCAGGTGTGAGAGAAATTCCTGGGGCAGTAGGAGGAAGAGGAGGCAAAGTGATGACAAGGAAAGGGCCATGAAGTGCTGGAAGGTGCTGCAAGAAAGTGATCAGAACTCACTCTCATACCGCTGGCTACAGAATTTTGTAAGGTGCAAAACTGATCTCAGTGTTTAAACTTTCTTCTTCAAGTTCGGTGTCTTCTGTCTCACTGCACCTGTCCTGCCACTTCCCTCATGGTGGGCTGCATCTCTTCAATAGCCGTATACTGTTCTACACTGATGAGAATGAATTTCAATTACAGATAAAATTTTCCAATCAGCACTTGTGCGGTGTAGGGCACAGGAAAGCAGGGTCACTTACGTAAGAGGAGGCTGTCTGGACCATTGTAACCACTTGTATGGTCTGGTACCACCCTTCACACTGATCGGGAGGTCTTTTGACATCTCAAATATGATCATGCTACTGTTTCCCTTAATGGTTTCTGATTGCCTATAGGGTGAAGCCAAAACTCCTTGTTATGCTATAACCTGATCAGAACTGTGACTGATTGGTGGTGATATGGAAATAGGATATGGGAAAGAAGTCTGGAGACCATTACAGTTATTTGGGCCAATGAAATTGGTAGCATAGGAAAATAATTTTCATTTTTTAGGACAACTTTCTTAATTTTATTTGGTTTAGGAACTCTCTACTTTCATTTACTCAAAAGCTGAGATCTAGTAAGAAAAAATACTTGAACGCATTCTCTCCCATCTCACCTGCTCTAACCTTTTCCTCTGCCTCCTTAAATCCAGATCCTAGATTTTAACAGTCTGTTTTCGTTGGTACCTGTACCCTTTCCTAGTGATGTTTAATGGCTAACAACGTATTTCTCCTAGAAGCTGTCTTCTTCTGCCGTTTTTCCCAGTATGAGAGTCATGGTGCCAGTTTCATAACTTAGAGTTCCTATGCCTCTAGCTTACCAGTTTCTGGGGTCAGAGGAAATTATATTTCCAGGGTTTTGTAGGAGGCACAGGATAATTTTTTTTAAGAGAAAGAGGAACTCAATTGCTGGGGAGGTAAATTCTGGCCTTTTATTTATTTATTTTTTTGGGGGGGCAAAGATATCCTTTTTATTGCAGAGCCTATATCAAGTCATTTTAGCATTTTTTTAATATTTTATTTTATAAAATTCTGACATCATTTTTCATCTTTGCACAATGTATGTGTTTTCATTTTGGTTATATTCCCCATACAATTGCACCCCCCCCCCCTTATTTTGACTCTAGTCCTTTCTCTCCCTGCCCTCTCCCCCCACCGTAGTGTGTCTCTGGTTTATAGTTGCTTGTTGATTTTGATTTTCATTTTGTATTGATTAGTCTTTTTCCTGGTCTCTTATTTAGGTTTTCTAAATTCCTGCTATGAGTGAGGTTTCTTGACCTACTAAACATAGAGCTTCCATATGATCCAGCAATTCCACTCCTAGGTATTTACCCAAAGGACACAGAAACATCAATTCCAAAGAGCACCTGCACCCCTATGTTTATAGCAGCACTATTTACAATAGCTAAGCTATGGAAACAACCCAAATGCCCAAAAATAGATGACTGGATCAAGAAGATGTGGTACATATACACCATGGAATATTACTCAGCAATCACAAAAGATAAATACTTGCAGTTTGCAGCAACATGGATGGAGCTAGAAGGGATCATGCTCAGCGAAGTAAGTCAGAAAGAAAAAGAAAAATATTGGATAGTCTCACTCGTAGCAGGAATTCTGACCTTTTAAAAATAACATGTATATAATAATGGTGATCACTAGAAGTATCTGATTTAGACAGTTGCTTACTATTTTGACACTAAAGATACTTGAACTGATTATCTCCCAATCTCTCCTACTCTAAGCTTTTTCTCTGCCCCCTTAAATCCATTACTAGACTTACAGAGTCTGTTTTCATTGGTACTCTTAACCCTTTCTAGTGACGTTTAATGACTTATGGGATGTGGGGAGCAGGAATACAGGGTCACTGATATGGGGATTGTAAATATTGAAAGAATAGCTCTGTTGTTTATTAATGCAAATAATTTGGTTGTTTAGTATAAACGGTATAATACCATTCACTACTTAGGGCCAGTCTCTGTTTCCAATGGTCTAGAATGTGTGATAGAATGCACATATAATGCATATATGTAAAATATGTTTAGGGAAACTTGCAGTCCAAAAAAAAACTAATAATTTTCCTTCATTTATGCTTCATTCTTCCTGCTACATATTAGGCTTATCTCCTTTTAATTTTTTTAAGGGGAAAAAATCTATGAGGATAGAATTCTGTGAGAAGAAAAAAAAGTGTGAGAAGAAAAGTCTGAAGAGAAGAAAAGTCTGACAAAAAAAAAAAAAAAAACCTGGCAAAAAGTCTATGAGGAGAATAGTCTGTGAGGAGTGAATTATTTGAGAAATCAGCCTATGTGAAGAGAATTCTGTGAACAAAAATTCTATGAGGAAAGAAGTCTGAGAACAGATCAACATTGGAGGAGATCAATCTACAAGGGGAGAAGACTGTGAAAAAAAAAAAGCCTATGAGGAGAGAATTCTTAAGGAAAGGCTTATGAGAAGAAAAGTCTATGAGAATTCAAATCTGAGGAGAAAATTCATGAAAAGACTGAGGACCAAGAAGACTATAAAGAAGAAAATTCTGTAGAGAGATAAAGAAACTGAGAGAAGAGAAAAGTCTGTGAGGAGAAAAAAAGTTTATGAGAAGAGAATTGTGTGAGGAAAAATCCTATGAGACAAAAATGTCTAAAAGGAGGAAAATGCTGAGGACCAGTTTTGTGAGAGAAGAGTCTGTAGTTAGTCTGAGAAGAAAAGCTATGAAAAGACCAAGGGGGGAAGTCGAAGGAGAAAAATCTGAGGACCAATATCTGAGGAGAAAAGTCTGTGAAGAGAATTGTTTGAGGAATTAAGCCTCTGAGGAAGAAATCTGTGAAAAGTCTGTAAGGAGAGAATTGTCTAAGGAAAAAGTCTATGAGAAGAAAAACCTGAGCAGAAAATTCTATGAGGAAAAAGCCTCTAAGGAAGAGAGAATTCTGTGAGGAAACAATTTCTGAGAAAAACCTACAATAAGATTAGATTCATTTCTTTTTTTTAAAAAAAAATATTTATTTTATTTATACAAGCACTGGGTACAGTCAGAAGTGCAGGAGGGTGAACAAATTCACCTGAGCCAGAGCGAGGAGCAGAGCAGGCTGAAGGACTGAAGTACACTGCTGAGGGGAGCAGCTGGTGGCAGGAGAGGTCTGCACACCATGTGGGACCCTCCTCCAGAGGCTGGGAAGCAGACAGGGATCGAACCGGTGCTGCAGAGGCTGTGGGCAGCTTCACAGCCCAGCTCTCAACCGCTGCGCCACCGGGGAGGCCCAGATTCATTTCTTGATTCAATTTTTTCAAGATTACTTTATGAGCATTTTCTCTCTGCCAGAATCTTTCATATTCAGTATCTCACTCAATCCTCATATCAAGTCCACAAAGTAATATTTTCATTTCCACTTGACAGTTAAAAAAACATTAAACAGATAAATATTTTTTTAAAAATAAGTGACATACTTAGTTAACTGGCTGCAGTGATAAAGCAGGACCTGGAGGTTATGTAATTTAGTTTTCAAATATAGAATTCTTTTTACCCTGTGCCTGAAAGTATGGGAGACTTATCTTTAGAAGAGTAGTAATCAAAAACAAATTGTATTTGTCAATTATAGTAATTTAATTTTTTTTAAAGATTTATTTATTTATTTACACAAGCACTGGGTACAGTCAGAAGCACGGGAGGGTGAGAGAATTCACCAGAGCCAGAGCGGGGAGCAGAGCAGGCAGAAGGACCGAAGTACACTGCTGAGGGGAGCAGCGGGCGGCAGGAGAGGTCCGCGCGCCATGTGGGACCCTCCTCCCGTGGCCGGGGAGCAGCCGGGGATCGAACCAGCGCTGCAGAGGCTGCCGGCAGCTTCGCAACCCAGCACTCAACCGCTGCGCCACCGGGGAGGCCCCATTTGTTTTTATTCATACAGTTTAAACAGATGGATCATACCCAAATGGACCTTAGCTGCTAAGTCTTTTAATATTTGCAAGTTTGTACTAACCCTGTTAGTGTCTCCACCAGCACCTCACTCATTCTCTATTACATTATGAGAACCTGGCAGGTAGTTATGGTGCCTGAAAACCTAGATTCTGGATCCAGCTATTTGAATTCAAATTCTAACTCTGCTTCTTGTAAATTCTGTGCCTTAAGTTTCTTCACTAGTACATAAAGTACAAAGAAAATTCCCTGAAACCTAATAATTTTTAAGCATTCAAAGTCTTGTCATTGTTTTTTATTATTATTATTATTACCACAATTCCGGGAGCCTAAAGATAGTTGATAAATAATTATGGAATCAGTATGGCACATAACACACATTTATAAATATATATATATATATATATATATATGGATATGTTCTATATAGCTTAGTTGTTTTTCTTTCATTGTCTTAATTTTTCAACCAAGATTTAATGATTCCATTATCTGGTACTGGAAAAATCTCTCTTCAATGTTCATAGTAACTACATAAAATAAGTGATGACATTAATTTACTAGGGCTGGCATAGCAAACTACTGACTTACACAACAGAAATTTATTTTCCCACAGCTCTGGATGCTGGACGTCCAAGATCGAGACATCAGCATCTTGATTTGCTTTCTCCTGAGCCCTCTTTCCATGGCTGCAGGTAACCCTCTTGTTGACTCTTCACATAGCCTTTCCTCTGTGCATACACATCCCTGGTATCTCTTTGTGGGTCCACATTTCCTTTTAGAAGAACAGTCAGATTGGATTAGGGCCCATCCTAAAGTCTTCATTTTAACTTAAAACACCTTATCTCCACATTTGTTTAATTCTGAGTAAGGTGAAGGGGAGTAAGACTTCAACATATGAAATGGGGGAGGGGCAATTATATCACAATTCAAATACTACAGATAGACCTACTTTGAAAAGTTCAAATGACACTATTTCGCTTTTAAAACCGATCTACACCAGTACCTGCTTTCCGTAATGGAGAATGAGATCCAAAGGAGATTTTCGCTTTTACGACTTGTCGAAAATCAAAACCAGCCTTGGCGTTTCTTTGCTGCAGCTGCGCTCTGGTAGCAGCTGCATCTCAGGAGCGTCAAGAACGGCCACACTGAATCCTTCTCTGGGAACTAATTTATACAGACCATAGGTATGTATCACATCATTCCTGCTTTTAACTATATGTTAGTCTTTTTTTAGGGCTTAACATGCTGTTTGGTATGACTTGGCAGATTTTAAGGGGTCGGGGAGTGCTCAAAACTGTTTCCATATAAATGAATGGCAATGGCTACCGCACACTATTTTTGCTTGTGAAAGGTTTCGTAGGAGCACTCTACTTTGGGAATGCAGGAGAAAACTGCATTTTGATTATTTTTATGTTGACATCCCTCCTGGATAGGAGCTGTGGTCCCTCACTAGCATTATTTAAAGCCCCATTATTTCCCCAAGCCTATTGGCCGCGGGCAGTAGAAAATATGCATAGACCCTTAGTTGAAATATGATCGCTTATAAAATCCTCTTGGACTTTCAGCTGGATTGCTGAGTTCTACCGAAATGTATGTGAGAAGTAAAGTGACCCCTGTGCACACTGTCATGGGCCTAAGGTGCTGCTATGCATGTATGTGGCCTAGTACCTGGTGGGACCCAGGAAGTGCCTCTCCTGGAAGATACCAAAATTGATGAGAATATTTTCTATGATTTTACTTCAAAGGTTTCTGATCATTTAACTTGAAAATAGATATAACCTGGCAATCATGAACAAAACAAAAGGGGGTGAGAATGGAAATGAGCATGCCATGTGATGGCAGAGCTAGAAAAGCGTATATGAGTACACATCTTGTACCTCACTTAACCCGGGTACTAGAAAGTTTCTTGAGGAACAGACTCCTGCAATGAGTTTAATTAGATATCTCTAATTATCCTATTAGTCATCCTTTTGTCTGTCATAACAGGGCTTGATTCTCCTTGGTAGCAGCAAACAGCAGGGTAAAACAATCAAGGCAGTTGGTTACCTTTGCTTATTACTTATTAATGATGAAAGCTAGCAAAAGGAAGTTATTATCAGTTATTAATAAATAAATTCTGTCACAACAGGGCTTGATTCTCCTTGGTAGCAGCAAACAGCAGGGTAAACAATCAAGGCAGTTGGTTACCTTTGCTTATTAATTATTAATGATGAAAGCTAGCAAAAGGAAGTTATTATCAGTTGTTAATAAATAAATTCAAGGAGTGCTATACCAGGAGAAGTTTCAGCAATGGAATTTCTTCCTAAGCAGTCAGGGCTTATTTTTAGCTGACGGGGCAGGAAGTATTCACAAGTGTTGTACATTGATTATGATTGCACCAATGGAAGATACAAGTCATTCTCAAGTCTGCCACATAATATTAGTTAGACTTACAATCTAAATCCATCTTCCTGTGATCTCACCTTTTGTCCACTGCATCAAAATTTGAAATGCCTCCTTATACCTGCCCCAAGGCAAAGGAAGGTTGATGGCCTGTTGCTAGGCCCCTCACTTGCAAATGACTTTTCTTACTATGACATCATTATCATAGGGGAGGGTCCTGTAACCAAGGCAACAGGGAATGGAATCTGTGCAGTTAATATCAGCAATCTTTAAAATTATCTTATCTGATTTTCTCAGTGTTTCCCTAGAATTCACTGACTTCACACATTCTTGGCCTATTATTTAACTTAAAATATTTCCCTCTCCTAAAGTAGACTTGTTTTTGATCAAGATTACAATTTGTTTCCTCACCTTTTATTTCTAAGATTGTATTCCTTTTTAGAAAGAAATGGTCCTCTGAATTTTTCCATAGCCTTCTCTTCTGATCTGTCTTCCCATCTTAACATAAGACTGATCAGTTTACCTGGCTACAATGATGTTAAAATGATTGATAAGATTATGAATTAACTGGGATATAGTTGTGAAAGAGTTTTGAATTTAGTCGTAGAATCTGGATTTGTATTTGCTTCCTCTTTTACCAGTTCTGTAAGCCCAAATCAGTTCTTTAATCTCTCTCAAGCTTCTGTATCCTTATATATAAAATGGAGAGATTAATACTTACTTTCTCAGTTTTATACTGAGATTATATCAGATAAAGATTTTGAGAGTGTTATGCTAGTACAGGGCCTTACCAGAGAACGTACCTGGCATTGGATTTTGGTTAAATCCAAATTTATTATACTAGTAATTGTATGAAAACCTTTATATTATGGAAATTTTCAAACGTGCAAAAGGGGAGGGAGAATTATAATAAATCCCAAATTACCTATTACCCAGTGTGCAATATGTGTCAATGGTTTCTCAAACTTGTTTTACCTGTCAACACTTTTTTCTCCTGAAATATTCTAAAGCAAATCTTGCACACTGTTATATCACACATAAATACTTTTTATGCACCTCTAACTTATTACCATAACATTACTATACCTAACAGAAGTCATTCCTTGATACTGTATCATCTGTAACCCAATCAATATGTAAATGTTCTTCATTATCTTAGAGGTGTTTTTAATAGTCAATTTGTTGAAGTAATGACCCAAACAAGATCCACATATAATTTTTATTGTCTCAAGTTTTTTTTTTTACTTTAAAATAGTGCTCAATCCTTTGTATTTTTTACTTCATGCCATTGATTTGTTAAAAACAAATAAACAAAAAGCATGTTATTTGTGCTATGGAATGATTTACACTCTGAATTTAGCTGTTGCTATTGTTCTGGATCCATGGTCTTGTTTAACTGGCTCCCTGAACTCCTGCATTGTCTGTAAACTGGTAGTTGAATCTTGAAGCTTAAGTAGAGTCAAGCCTAAATTTCATAAGCAGAATAAGTGGTGCTGGAGTTAGCAATCTTTGAGGATGACTTAATGATTTATTTTTTAACTATTTACAACTCAGTCTCACAAATCTTTCTCTGCCACAAACCCAGGCAAATCTGGCCGTTGGTGGTAGCTCCATTCAGTTAACTACAGAACTCCTTTAGCTTACGTTGCCATTAGAGGTGGCTGTAATGGTTTTCTGTTGCTTTTATAAATGGCTATAATTTCATTTGGAAACTATGATACCTCCAAAGTCTAGTTAATCAACTAATTTTTAAAGTCACTCACCATTTGTTACATATACATAGAACTATATTTAGAATTAGTGTTGAGTCACTCCCCCACACATGCTATGATAGGAATTATTCAGAAAACAACAATCATCTTTGTGGTCATGACTTACAATTAAAGATAACTGAAGTTCTTGATCCTGGATAATTCAGAATCCAAAATATCTGTCCCCCAATTATCTGGTTATTCTTTTCACATGTGGAGTCAAATTTACATGTTCCCACCAAGTAGTTTTACAAATAAATATTTATTGAGCCCCTACTTTGAATAGATCATGTGTCTAGGTGCTACACCCATGCACAGATGAGGTATGATTCCTGTCCTGTGGTACAAATTTGGTAGGAAAGATAATGAATGCATACATATTACATAATAAAGTATGTGACATAAGAATTACAAAAACAAAGCATGAAAATTTTAGTTTAGGAGTATTATGGAAAAGCCTTTGGTGGCATTTGAGATGAACCTTGAAGAGTGACTTCAGCAAGAATGAATAAAGGAAAAAGTATCTAAAAATCCACAGGTTTGAAATCCTTGAATATAGTTTGCTTCTAGTTAAGGGAATGAGATAGAATATAGAGATAGAAAAGCAAATCAATAGCATAGAGATTACTGATTATCCGGCTGGTCTATTTCCCTCCCTTCTCTCCCTCCTTTCATGCCTCCCTACCTTCCTAGCTTCTTTCCTTCCTTCATCTTTTCTCTCTCTCTCGCAACAGAAAACCATGAATGTAAGATCACAAAGAGTCATGTCAACACCAAAGGAAAGAGGAATTTTTAAAAATATTTTTACTTTTTTATTTTATTTATTTATTTTTTTAAAGATTTATTTGTTTATTTATGTACACAAGCACTGGGTACAGTCAGAAGCGCAGGAGGGTGAGAGAATTCACCAGAGTCAGAGGGGAGAGCAGAGCAGGCAGAAGGACTGAAGTACACTGCTGAGGGGAGCAGTGGGCGGCAGGAGAGGTCTGCGCGCCATGTGGGACCCTCCTCCGGTGGCCGGGGAGCAGCCGGGGATCGAACCAGCGCTGCAGAGGCTGCGGGCAGCTTTGCAACCCAGCGCTCAACCGCTGTGCCACTGGGGAGGCCCTATTTTTACTTTTTTAAAACGATTTATTTATGCATACAAGAACTGGGGTACAGGCCAGAGGTGAGAGTACTCACCAGAGACAGAGTGGGGAGCAGAACAGCAGACTGACTTAAATACACTGCTGAAGGGAGCAGCAAGTGAGTCAGGAGAGGACTTTAGCACCATGTGGGTAGCTCCCTGGCTGGAGATCGAACTTGTGCTGCAGAGGCTGCGGATAGCTTCATAGGTTGTGTCTTAACTTACACTTGCACCACCAGGGAGGCCCAGGAAAGAGGAATTTTAAGTTGAAGGGAAATAATATTATTCACAATGACCTAAGAGTGAAAACAAATCAAATATTCATTAGTTAGTGAATCGATAAACAAATGTGGGGTATCTGTGTGAAGGAATATTACTCAACTGTAATAAGCAATGAGGGACTGACACTTGTTACAACTTGGATGAACCTCAAAAACGTACTAAATGAAAGAAGTCAGTCATAAAGGACTACATATATGATTCCATTTATATAAAATGTATCAAACAGACAAATATAGAGAGTTGGAAAGCATATTAGTGATTGCCTAGGACTGGGGAGGAGAAAGGTAGAGGAGTTAGGGATGAGAGCTAAGGAGAGTGCCGTTTCTTTGAAGGTTTTTAAATGTATATTCAAATGGATTGTTATGATAACTGCACCTCTCTGAAAGTATTAAAAGCTATTGGATTATACATTTTGGCCTCTGAAACTCCAGTCAAACATACAGTACACCTTCACATTCTAGGGTCCATGTTTCCTTACCTCTTTATGACTTTCTATCTTTTTGTCTTACTGAACAATATCCTAAAATTTTTCTTTGAATCTATTCAAGTTCACTAGTGATATATTAATCCATGTCTAATCTATTTTTAACATATCAATTTTTAAAATTTTACTTTCAGCTTTTATATTTGTCTTCTGTAGAATTTTTATTTGACCTTTTCTCAAGTCTCTTTGGTTGTTTTTTTATAGTCTCAAAGATAGATGGGTAGAAGGTGGGTGGGTGGGTAGATAGATAGATAGATAGATATGCTCATATATACATAGCCTCTATACACTCACAGGGAGTCTCCTTTTCACTGCTTAAAAATGTCAAACACAATATATTTTGTATTTTGGGGAAGTTCCAATATCTGAAGTCTTTATGGTTTTAATTCTAGTATGCACTGTTTCTGCTGACTCTTCCTTATAACTTATTTTCTTTTGTTTTATGAATTTAACTCTGAATTTATAAGTGCGAATTCTTTGAGACTCAGGCTATAGTTGTTTTCCTTCTTAAGGACTTCTGTGTACTTCTGTAGGTTGTTGGGAGACCTTTCCAGGAGCACTTTATTGTTTATCTCATAAAACCTATATTTATATTTTTGAAACAATCTCAAATTTACAAAAAAGTTACAAGAAAATTATTCCTGAACCATTTGACAGCAAGTTGCCAAAATGATGCTTCATCATTTCCATTTACTCTAGTAAATGGACTTTGTCATACAGATATAATATAATCCTCGAAACCAGAAAGTGAAGATTAATATTATTACTATTACTAGCTACTACTTAGCTAACCCTCAAACCCCATTCAAGTTTCAGCAATTAACCCAATAATTTTTTTTTATAACAAAATTAGTCAAGTCTGGAATCAGGTGTTACATCTAGTTATAATACTAATTTAGTCTCTTTCAGTCAGGGAGTTCCTCAGTTTTTCTGGACTGCCTTGATCTGAACATTTTTAAACATTACAGACCAGTTTGGAAACTGGCCCTCACTTTGGATTTGTCTGATGTTTCTTCACGATTCATTTGAGAAGGAATGCAATAAATCAGCCAAGATTCTGGTACTGAAAATCAAAAGTGAGTTCAATAATTCAAATGGAGATGCAAACCCAAGCCCAAAAGAATGGTTTTCTTTACAAATAATTAATATCAATAAGGAGATTTTAAAAAATAAATGTTGAAACTGAGTAGGGGAAGTTGCGAGAGTTCATGTCCTACGGCCTCACCCTCCATGCCTTCACTTCCTTCTCACCCACTCACATCTCCCACCACTTGAGAGAAGAAATTCCCTTTTAAAAGGTCACCAATGAGTGTTTGATCATCAAATCCTATAGCTTTTTCTCAATATTCATCCTCCATGACCTTCCAGTAAAAACTAAAGCTATGGACCACTCCCTTCCTCATTTTTTTCTTAAACAGACATACTGAGATATAATTCACAAAGCATGAATTCAGTATTGGAAGAATAGTGACTAAAATTTCCTCAAAAATGTTGAAAGATAGTCAATTATTGTCAAAAAATTATAAAACATAATTAGGCAAA